CATTTTGTACAATGACCTGTGGGGTCCTGCAGAATTCTCCCCCAGAAGCTCAACAGCAGTTTTGGTACCTATATGGTAATTTTCCCCAGTAATTTTCAAATATTATGTTTTATCTTCTCTTTCTTTCCTGGAGCATGGGTTTCTTTAAATACTTTTCTACGCATTCCTCAGAGTACCTTACTCGTCTAGAGATGATAACATTCACAACGCTGAAAAACAATACCTCGAAAGGTCAATTTTGGCGCATCAACGCCATTTTTCTCTTATTCACTCAATGTAAATTTCGAAACTATTCGCTCCAGGTAAATTGACAAATCTTCCCCTAGACTGAGACGGAAGTTTAGCCTGACATTTTAAAATAAGAATAAAGTTTTATTTCATTTTATGACATAAGTATCACAGGAACAGGACCCAAGCATTTAGCATGGAAACAGAGAAAAACGTGATCCGAGACGCGTTACACGTGAAATTAACGCGTTGTAAATCGCTTATTCATACCTCAACCCGTTTCTTTCCGAAAAGCGGTGATCGCAGATCGTAAGCCCGAGTTTCATTTTCACCAAATTTTCCAACAGTAAAGTTGTATTTCAAGAAGAAAAATCAAGTCAATTTGAAATTCTCAGGATAGCAGTTCAGACGTTTAGACAATAATTGCAGTCAATTGTGAAGTAACGCGAGGGACTGAAATGTTATGTAACACGTTGTAAAACTTCGATCGAATAAAACTTATCTTACTCCTTTAAGTCCGCTTACATTCACTTTTTATCACCATAAATCAGTCATTCGTCAAATTGTTTGTTTGACGATTCGAATTAGGGTTAGGGATTACAAGACAAGTCATTCGTTTGAAAAGCAATTTCCATTACACACGTACGATCAGGGCCTTTTGTCTTCTCTGTTCGCTTTCCTAGAGATTTCTGTCAGAATTCTTGTAGTCGTCCCGGTACATGCGATCAACAAGCTTAGGTGTGATTTCCGTAACTCGACGAATCAAAAGAAAACTAAATCAAATTCACAAAAACTTACCCTCGTCGATTTCTTATCTCGAAGGTCAGTCGGCCGCTCTTGCTTCGTGACAAATGTGATTACAACCCCCAGTCACAAAATGCAAATTAACTACAGGTACAAGGAATTACAATACATGCATAAATTAACAATGCTGATACTTAACAGTGCTGTGTAGACAGTATATTCCTTAAGCAGGCCCACATGGTTAGCGTTTCGCACCGAACGTTTTAGCGCCCGAGGTAAGATATTAAAGGTTTACGAAAGTATGGTGCGTTTTTCCTTTCAAAATTCAACTTTTCCGCTCGTCTTTTAAGTTCGACATCTCCATATTTCAAAGGATAATTTCCTAATATCTCTCGTTTCTCAGTTCTCTTATCTCTTATTTCCCATCTCAAAAGCATACTTTCGAACATGAAGGGCACGAGCACAAGCCTTCGCACTCATAAAAATTGAAACAATAACATGTTGATCCACTTATCTACGCCATTGAATTTCACCTATGTGTTTTCCTCGTTAACGGGCAAAAAATCCTGAGCCGGATTCTTCCAAAAGAATGCGGCTGCTCTTACTCGGTGTAGAAGACACAGTATACGTCACAATAGAATTTAATCACAACCGGAAATAAGAAAACAATGAAAACAATAATGTGACGTAACTGTGTCTTCTACACCAAGTAAGAGCCGAGAATGCTCCCTCAGAGACGCTTGGTCAAATCCGGAAGAAAAAAACCACTAGAGAAATCTCATTTTATAATAATAATAATAATAATAATGAACGTTCTTAATACGCATTTAAGAATCTCAATGCGCTTACAATTTTTACTAAGGTTGAGATCGGACGTCAGCATAATCAGGCGCCTCTGGCAGCCGCTTTAGTCCATGTAACGACCTCACCTTTTCCCCCCCATCCCACCCCAGGGGAGGACATCCATCACACAGTAATCTCGTGCGTGGGAAATTAACGTCTCCTACCCCTAACCCTGCAGGAGACGGGACCTCCATTTATTCGTCCCTATCCGAGAAGACTAGAATATCTAACCATTTCTTGATGTTGAGAAAGGAAGCATATTCTTCTCAGTTAATTTTAAGACCCTGAGTGTTGGTCCGGCCGGTATTGAACTCTCGACCTCCCACACAGCAGTCCGGCGCTCTCCCAATTGAGCTAACCAGGCGGCGGTCGTATTTTATAAGTCGATGATTAGGACTTGCGCGTAAGAGAGAGCTGTGGAGCATCCGCGGAAATTTTAAATCATGTTAATTTACGCGCCCAATGGCCATTTGATCTCTCAAATCTACGGGGCTTTTGGGATAATTGTTAGCTATAAAAATATTCAAAATTAGAGAAATAATCCGCAAAGAGTCAAACTAAGGTTTGCGTTGCATATTTGTTTTCAGGTCAACAGCGCTAATTCTACAAACTCATCCACAGGGTCTCCACACAAAGTGCGGTAGTTTCTCTTCACTGTCGAGCAGAACAACTCCTTTCATCAGTTTCATGCAGTTAAGTTTTCTGTAGGTGCAGATGGAAGGTCTCAAATGTATATAAAATGGCCCAACAATAAAAGGTGTCCACAAGATAGGTGGAGCATGTCACACGAGTGGGAAGTTGCAGCACAAAAGGTGTCCCGAGGGTGTTCTTAAGGAAGGTGGGTGGCTGCTTTGTGGGTCGAGAATATAACAGCTTCATTCAGTAATGTCCAGAAATGCACGAAGTAACGAAAATGGGGCTTCCTTGCAAGATCACGTGGGACCAGCACTTGTTAATCACATAAATTGAATTTAAAAAAGTATGCTAAACACCTTTGCTCGCAGCTCAATGAAGGAGATCGTATCACTGAAAAACATCCCAGTTTCAAGGTCACAGGAAAAACAGCCTGCGCTATAGACACCGATTTATCAGGGAACTAGTTATCTTATTACAATCATAAGTTACCTTGACCCGCGGAAACATCCCAAACAGCGAAACCCAAAGCCAACAGAAGAAGGATAAAAGGTCCCCAACGGAAATCCTACAAGAAAATAAATATTTATAGGAAATTCTCCTTCGAACCGATCGAACCCAATTTTATCATTCTCTACATAAAAAAAAAACCTTTAGAGGTTCGACAAAGCCATTTTCAAAGTTACCTTTTCGCGAAAACAAAACGTGCTAATTTGTTTCTGATGGTCTAGGGAAAAAATCAGCGAAGTAGTCCAACCATTGTCAGTTAGCGTATCGTGACCCCAGAGGAGTAATGCTCCACAGACTTAACTGCTCTCAGTGCTTCAGCAATTGAACCTTATGCGCCAAAAATGGCCTTTTATACCGTCTGTTGACATGCTGTTGTATATGATCCTTGCAAGGAAACAAGCATATCGTTTCAGATAGTTTCCGCTCTTTTTCAAGCGCGCGTTGTCATGGTTATACGGCTGGATATACCTTGGACGGTTAGGTTCAGTGTGCACTGTCCTTTATATACTAATGAGCTTCCAATCTGATAAACGATTTCATTGGCTATCATATGTATCGACTTGACAATCTCTGAATCAGAGCTTAAAAGATCACGGAAGGAAATTTCGTTATTGCAAATTTCAAGGCACTTGTGTAATCAAGATGCTGAGTTTTGCACGGAAATAATGACATCCTTCCATATTATTATTGTTTCCTGTCTGTTTCAGATTCCATAGATTCTATAGCTATGTTCGACAGTTGTAATACGTTTGCGCGTCTTTGGCAATCTCAAGTAAAAGCGCGCGGGCATGGTTCACTCGATCAGAAAGGGCGACTTCAAGGTCACGCTGCACCTTTATTTTACCTTACGAGAAAGGGAATTGCAATTTAGTCAGCACAAAAGGTATGATGTTAGAATTTACCCAAATCTTACGCTGAATTCTCATTGTTTTTTTCCTCGCCCCTCTAGTCTTTTGAGGTAATAGGTTCGTATACCGAAGGATGAAATCAAATTTCTCTGCTCTCTCAAAAAAGAAAGGTTGACCGTTAGTAACAATTATAAATGGAGTCGTATATCTAGATGAGATATTAAAGGCACTGTGATCTATTAAAAGCTCATTTTCTACTGTAAACAGACGGGCAACAAAGCAATACTGATATACACTTCCAATTTACTACCGCAGCAAGCACGAAAAGGAAACTGAGAGTTTTAAGAACAGGTTTAGGTCATGTGATCTACCGCACCAATTCAACTCCTTAACCCTTTACGCCTTAACATCGGTACGCATATTCTCCATACTGTTCTCTATACCTTTTTAGAGGTGCTGACAAGGAGAATTTGTTTAACAATCAAGATATATATTCTCTAGAGGGTGGTGTCTTTAAGTGTGATTCAGAGGTGAAATTGCAAGGAGAAATTAGTTGTCAGTCACTCTTGGGGTCAAAAGGTTTAACGCTTGTTACATAGTTCCTTCGCAGCCAGTGTTTGATCTCGTCCCGAAACACACGTTCCCTTGCCATCAGCTGCTTCTATCGGAACGACATTAGTCTCCCTTTGTTTTGAGTGCATGGTGGTCTTACTTAATAATGAGGCACTGCACAAATCAGACCTCGCCGTTTGTTTTCTAGAGCCAATCGCGTACCCATACAATGTTAGACACGTAGGTTCCCCGCGTGAATTTTCTCGGCGTTTTCACATTTGTGGGGGAGAGAGCCAGTTGCGTGACCAAATCAAAGGATATAACTGTTGCATTCACAAAGTTTTTAAGAAATTCTCGTCTTCGCTATAAACAATCCCCACTTAGATTTTTAACCCTTCAACCCCAAAGAGTGACTAGCATCTAATTTCTCTTTACAATATCACCCCTGATTCAAACATGAAGGTCATAAGAATAGAGAAATTGTTCACAACTAAAACAACTCTTGATTATTAAACAAATTCTCTTTGTCAGCACCTTAAGAGATGTATAATGAATAGTATGGAGAATATGGATACTGATGTTAGGGGGGGGAAGGCTTAAGGCAAAAGAGAAGTTCAAAGAGGAAAAAGACTGCCACACTCCTCAAGTTTCACATACTTTAATGTACAGCGATCTCTTTACATATAAAACGAGAATGCATTACAAATACGTGTGCTCATCTTCCATCACGATTCAGTTTCTTTCAATTTTACATTTTTGACGTTATACACACCTTAGCCGCTTGTGTATTTCGACAGTAAAACAAAAGGCATGAAATTATCCCATTCCATTGTCTTAAGGCAAATCTTTGTACAAATTTTCATAATTCACATCTACAATGAAGATAAGATAATACCTCGACGACTGAAAAGTCGGAAATTGAGCTTTCAACAAACGACAAAGATTCGTTATACCCTCAATTACGTGACATATGCCTTGATGGAAAATTATCTCGAGCTGTAGTCTTAATCTTTTCAGTCAAATTGTATCCCTGTATCAACCTACATGATCAGTTCAAATGAGGAGCCCCCCAATTGCTTTTTCAAGCCTCAACATCAAACCACATACAACAAAATGCAAAAAGCCGATAACATCACTATATGAGCTACTTCAGTTTAATTTAAAATTTAAGATTACTTTACTGAATTTTTCACAATAACCTGCATGTTTGCGTCTGATTTATTTGAGCGGTCACTGGGGAGCATTAATTAAGTTATTGTGATAAATAAATTAGGGATTGCATTTTACATACCGATTGAAATTAAAAAATGGAAAACAAGCTATGAATACATAACATAGAGACATTTCTCTCTTAAATATATATATATTTATGGGAATTAAAATAACAAAAACAAAACAAAACAAAATCATTGAGTTGTCGTTCTCAAAGCAAAAGAATACTTTTAAAACGAGGCGCAAACAATCAGTTATTGAATCGATTTCAAAAATTCACTTTTCACCATATATTAGAAAGAATAAAACTAAACTTGATATCTTTGGTCTTTGCAATCAAAAAGAGCTCAAGCACATTCAAAAGTTATACCGATCTGCATTGCCTTTGACATCGAATATACAAGGAAGATCGCGCCAATCTACAGCCTGGATTCCACGTCCATTCCACTTCCATTCTTCGAAAACTCGGATTTCTTTAAGATATCAATAAACAATTTACCTTGAGTAGTTATACAGAAAAGAAAATTTCATTACGTTTAAAAGTAAGTAACTGCAGCCCCTTTCAAAAGGCTCTCGTTACTATTTATATTACTTTTTTTCCGTTGCATTTAATTTCCTTAGGTCAAAAGGGCTGCTTTTCACGGGTTAAGCCACATGCAACCAAACAAAAGGTTTTTTATTTAAAGGTTAATCAAACTGACCCAATACTCAGGCGCACTGAAACAAAACACCGCTGCTCACAACCAAAGTTTGGGAACAAGAAACAGACTCATTTCCTAAGGCAACCCCCTGGACACCAAACACTTAGTGGCGTTCAAACGAGCCTCGAAGGTTGAGATGATCATTATCCGATTCCGCGTAATAAAGGTAGCACGTGCATTAACGTAAAATTCTACAGAGCAACTATTAAGAAACTAGCTTGAAAGTAGTAAAAATTAGTAGAAAAATCCCAAGCTTTGGGACAATTGTTTCTTCCTAATTGTGCATGGTAAACCACACTCTCTGAGGCCTACCTACCCCTGCAATTATGCCTAGACTACATCTAATTTTAATCATTTCTTACGGAACCAACCCTGCACGATGGTGTAGAAATTTTCCCGCCTTTTCTCTCTCGCAAAACTCCGAGTGATATTGGCGTTTCCTGATGACTTAAGAATTGATTCTGAATGGATTATAGGGAAACTAGGCATCGAACACCAAAAGCTCCATTCCCTTACTAGGAGATGTATACGGTATGAATACTATGAATGACTGAGTAGGTTACGTTAACTAACGACTGGCGAGGTAGGAATGGGTCCAAGTACTGGAAAGAGAAGGGCTGGGTACATTTCGTTAGAGCCTGACCATAACTTGACTCATGTCGTTCGTGATCCTTGCGAGGGGTAGGATGGAGTTAATACACCCACGACACTGGCACCCACTGTGACGTTTTGTGCAATCGCTCGAGGGCGTCCTCCAGGAGGCGAATCGTGTCGTCGATATCATTATTAACGATTGTAAGGTCAAACAAGTGCCCGTACGTCTGGCGAAGTGCGTCCGACTCTTTGGCAAGCCTCTGAAGACTTTCGTCCTATCGAGGGAGGAAAAAAATAATAATTAAACAAAATTATAAATATTAAATTAAGCAAACAGTGCTGGTCAACTGAGTAGGTTACGTTAACTAACGACTGGCGAGGTAGGAATGGGTCCAAGTACTGGAAAGAGAAGGGCTGGGTACATTTCGTTAGAGCCTGACCATGACTTGACTCATGCAAGTTTTTGAAAAATTTGTATCTCTTTACGGTGGCCAAATACGTTACCCACTCAGTTGTTAGAACCAAATTATCGCCGAATTGCTACCGACAAGATTTTTCGATTGCGAATATAATACTAAAAACTTGAGAATAAAAATGAATTATATTATCAAAATCTTTCAGAATCACTCGAGAATATCAGAAGAGGCACGATAAACTTCACTATTCAGACTTACAGCAACATCTCCGTTTGGCATGGGTGGGTTTCTCGTGTTGTCGTTTCCAATGATGGTTGGTGCGGAGATGAACACGACGTAAGGAGAGAATTCTGTGGTCCGAAGAACCTTCAGCGCCTGATAGAAAAAAGCAAAATTAGAAAGCCGTGGTAACAAACCGGTTCATGTGGCATCTAATTCTCGGAACTACCTCGTGACAAAAATGAGAAGGCTGGTCGTGCGAATGTAGACACTTAACATGTCACGTAAACTGCATTTATTGGAAAATGAACTTGAAAGGGGTGAAAAAAAAGCGGTATTGTTTGGATGATGTAGATCTAATTCAGTTTACTTCCCCAAGTAACACCAAGATGATTACAGTTCATATGCCTCAGCGCTGAAGGACATAATCTTAACGGCCTGTCTAAAAGGGCCCTGATTTACCTGAGGTTCCACGTCGAGAATTGCTGTGAGACCCTGATTAAGGTTGTCCCTTATCGTGTCGAGCTTGGTGCCGTACATGGCGCCTTGGTGCGTCCCGTATTCCAGGTATTTGTTGGCCTCTATGTCCATTAACATATCCTCGGCAGAAACAAAGAAGTAATTTTTTCCATCCTCTTCTCCTTCTTTTGGCTCTCTTGTCGTATCTTTAAAAGAAACAGCAGAAAATATTTCACCGAGTCTCACAAGCTTCATAGTTCCTCGTCTCGATCACAACGTTTACTTTTTCAGGAACCTGAATGTATGCGAATGAAGTTTACTCATGCCTTGTTTGCGGATTTGTTACAAAAACTTTGTCCCTAAAATGTTTTCAGCTTCATACTAAAAACGGAATTTTAGTGAAGTTAATATGATCCACCAATGGCGAAGACAATAACCGTTTACTTACGTGGAATAGGATAAGAAAATCTTTCGGGAAATTTATTGATCAATGTATTTTTAATATGTCTCCTTCCAACGCCATGAGCCCCTGAAAAAAAAGGCCATTGTGTGAACAGAGTAATCATTAACAGAGTAAATAGTATCAGTTCCACTAAACTAAAGTATAAGAGCCAGCGATCATCACCGCTGGATCAAGCACGCTTCTTAGCCATATCACGCATTCAGCACTGTTTTGTCAATGATTACACAGAAGCCTCAGTCGCATAAGACATTTTCAATGATCTTTAAAGGCGTCTCTTAGCAACCGCACCGCTGACATGGAGCCAAAATTACACTGGGTTCGAGATAAAGCTATTAATGGCAGTATTTGGTGAGCAGCTTCTCCAGAGCGGGTAGAGGCGTTTTCTCTAAACGTAAACTCTGCACTTCAAATTTTGCTTATTTCTTCACGAAATCATAACATGTGAAGGAAAAAACACCATACCACACGCCTGAAAGCAGGATTTCGGAATGATATGGAGGAATCTTCCTGCACGCCCAAGACCATTCATGAACAATATGCTCATCCTTACTCTCGTGTTTTACTAATAACCCAATACCCGGGCTTTTCAATTGGACCACAGCGCGAAGAAATGATTAAAGCTATCTTGGGAATTCAATCGGTCATTTCCAAGTTCCAAAAACCCTCACTTAGAAAATGAAGCTACTTGCAAAACCTTTGCTGTGAAATGAGTCGCATTTGCGCGAGGGTGAAATATCATTTTCAGATCAGAGGTTTTGCTTTCTAGGTCGTTTTGAAGAAGATGCAGCGAAGATCTCGGAAATGGTTTATCTATTCTTACCGAGAAGTACAAGTGCCTTTCGTTTAAAGTAATCCAGCCTGATAACTTCCTCATAAGTAACAAGATCAAGCTGATCGAAAACTAAGAGAAAAGAGAAAAATAATTGCATCACTGATTGTTCAATCCGAAAAATAAATCAATTCATGCCAGTAAAACGCACACTAGCGCTCACCTGCATTGTGTTTAGCCACATACTTATCACGACTGCTTTTCTTTTTCTTGTTAAACCATATACAAGTTGCTGAAGGAAAGAAAAACATATGTCATTCAAAGATAAAGATAATTATTATAATAACAAAAAATGCATCAACAATAATGATGATACTCTCCATCATAACGATTAAGACAAATTATACAAATAATATGAATATCAAAAATAATAATAATAGCTGAGAAAAAGCAAGAAAATCAAGAGCAACAGCGACAAAACCCAAGAGAGAGACTGGATGAAAGAAAACGGTCTAAGTTTGGCAAAAACAATACAGTAATCGCAAGGAGCGCCGGGCGAACTCCTCACTCTTCAAATTATAACTACACCTGAGCTATAATTTGCAGCGCTATGAATTAACTATGACATCTTTCCTTCATTATACCCTTTCCCACTTCTGAGGTACTAATTTCAGATCGTGATCCAGGCCGTTAATTGAATAAATCCAAAAAACACATTCTTACCGCCATTCTGCTTCCTGGCTTTCTCCGCTGCTAAACTCGACACTCTCCTGCCAAAAATTAAATGGAAGATCAACATGAGGCACTACGGTTTAGACGCAGGTTTCACCTTGTTCATCCTTCCCGCAAGTAAGTTTCAACACTTCTTTTTTTCTAAAGAACACTTCAAAGAAACTACTCCGAAAAGTTTGTTCCTATGTTTTACTCTTTTTTTTTCTATTTCTTGAAATGTTCACAAGCATACCCTATTTCTTTCAAATATACTGTGGGTTTTCTGACATCCGCTTGTGTAAGATGCCCTGTAAAGAATACTGCCTACGCCACCTGTTCTTCATCATTTTCTTTCTATCTTGCATTAGTTTATGAGTGATTTCAGTTCAATTTCAAGCGATATTAAGTTATACGGCTTCCAATTATTTGGTAGTATATCCTACTGACTGAGTGGGAGGGCCGGGAGGGCCTGAAGGGAAAATACTTGGCTCGACATACGTACCGAGCAACACGTGGTCTGAGTCATGACCGAGAGCAAAATATTTTCACTTTTCACCCGACCTAACTCAGCCAGTATAGGCATTTATCATATGACCATCGTTTCCTCTTTTTCTTCCCTTTTTCTTTTAGTTCGCAACTCGCAGGGCCGTACGGCGTTGTATGGTGCTGCTCACGCTATCGCATACGCTCCTCATACGGGAACACAAAAACGTGCAGAGCCTCATTGGTCATATAATAACATCACAGACGTGATAATGGAATCATCATACGACGGTAACTAACTCTTGGACAAACTACTCAAATCTCCCGAAATACTAACCACTCTTGTAGCTCGGGCGACGGAGCGAGTCCTGCGAATCCGGTCTTATCGTCAGCCTTGACTGCCTGCCACCAGTAGGGGTCAGTTTTACTTACGACTTGGATAATATCCCCACAAGCAAAGGTTAACCCGGCCTGTTGGCACGGAATCAGGTCATCCCCACGAGGGTCGTAATCAAACAGCGCCCGCACAAACACCTGCAAACAGCAGCGGTATGTAAGTAAGCCGCATATCAAGCAAAGTCGAGAACTTATTATGCTTCACAACTAAACCTCTGTAGTTAATTTTCAGCTAGCGTAATAAAGGTTCATCGCATTGAAGTATTTGTTTCTTTTTTTATTTTTCATCATTTTGTATGGTTTTTTACTGAAAAATATTCTTATGCACGAATTTTCAACCCTGAGTTTACGTGAAACGATCGACGTCGCATGAAAGGCACTGTTCTAGTGACATAAACATCATGCATTTACAACGGACTAAAAATATTTTGTTCCATTCTTCATAGATCTTTTCCACGGCACACTTACTTCAGAGACTTGGTTTAAATTCCTTGAGCTTGGCACAATCTTGAACGTGACATTTCCACTCGCTTGACGCTGAGAGATGAAGACGAAAGAAAATCGTCTTTTGTCAGTTTCACAGTAAAGCTTTGGTCCCTAAACCCTTACATCGATCAACAGCTAAGTTCTCCTTATAGTGGTATTGCTGAATCAAACGTCATGGTCACGAGAATAAAGAAATGATCGCTAGATTGTGCAATAAATTCTCCCTGTAAGTTCTACAAGTAATGTGAGGAGAAAATGCGTCCAGATCTCTGGGTGTGAAGAGTCACAAACACTCTGGGGTATGGTGATTATTGTATAACTCACCAAAATAGCTTGTAGGTTTTCGACTGACTTCTCTGCCACGTTAACTCCATTGATTTCGCGAATTTCATCTCCTGGGTGAAGTGTGCCTACATAGGGAAACAAAGAATTCGCCATTAAAAAGAACTGTTTTGCGAGTAAATTTATCGATGAAGGACAGTAGAAAATGTGTCTAATAAACAACGGTTCACTCTCCAGATGGTTGAAGCAAGTCTCGTACACTTAAGTGATTGTCTTGTTTCCAATTTGAGGGGAAGGATTTTGGAGGAGGCTGCTTCCTACAACACAGGCTTCCCGCAGAAGTAAGCGGGTGACCCGAGGGCAGCCCATAATTCCCTTCATATTATTAACCTGACACCAGGAAAAAGATCTAGTGTCACCCAGATTGTTATTTTCCTAACGTTAGAGAAGCAAATCATTTCAAGCATGCGCATTGAGCCTTCAAAATTAAAAGGAAACATCATCAACTGTGGCTGTACCTGTTCATTTACGCCAAACGGTAATGTTTCAAACTTTCGACAACCAGACGAAAATATAGAATGAAATATTAATTAACGTAACGGTTTATTTCGGATGTCTACATTGCCTGGCATACGAAAAGTCAAGTTTTAGCAAACGCTTTGTTGAGCTATATATCACTGGACTTTTAACCTGCGTGTAGCCACACCCGCCCCCCACCAAGGTGAAACGGAAGGTTTCACCTCGCGAGGGAGGGTACAGCTACACGTAGGCTACAGGCCTTTGTGTTTTAAATTTTAATCTAGAACACGTTTATTACAGTCACAATCTAAAAAAAAAAAAGAATCTTATCGCAGGGGGCAAATAAATCATGGCGGTCATATGAAAACTTTAACGACAATGATAACAAGAGTTACTTTGGTTCGGTTTGAACGCGTTGTTTACAGCTTTGCTGCAATTTGCTGTAGACTTCAAAAAAACACAAACCTTGTCTGTGGATCATTCCTCCGTGCATGATTCTGGCGACAATACACCTTCCTTCTTCGTTCAGTTTGAGAGTAATTCCCTGAAGAAGAAAATCATACAATCAGGGAATGAACACAAGTATCTGCACCATGCAATTTGAATTTTCTCGACCACAACACAAACAGATTAAAAAAAAAACATTTCAGTTGGAAACGAGATTCTATCTCTCAGTTCAGTCGCCAGACAACTCTCTGAGCTAAGAATAGCTGAAGCCTTGAAAATTTCACTCAAAAAAGTCTGGCTAGAGAGTACATTTGCGCCAGTTAGCTCCTACTTACATACAACGAAAAAAAATTGGTCATTGTTGAAGAAGCTACGCTTCGGTTTGTGCATCATGAAAAATTTTCCGCAAGATGTGTCTCATTTACCATTCACACCAATCTTTGCCATTCTATACTATTCTGGTTCGCTTTTAGTTTGCTTTTACCTCTTTCATGTTCTAGTACATGAACAAACTTTTATTTTTTGGGTTTCCTTGTACTCAAAGGATATTCTCTAACCCATCAACTAGCAGTTAACGATAAGGCCGCAACGCGTGCACTTGCATCCTTACCATGGGTTCGTTGAGATTTTTATGAAACTGAACGAGTCGAACACGGGTGAGTTTTTCCGGTCTTTCGCTCATAGATTCCTCTATTCTGCCATTATATCCAGTGCTGGTATCAGCATGATACTGGTTTACTTCCTCACCCGTTGAGATTTTCAACACTTCATCGTGAGACTGAAGCATCGCCTGGAGGGTGACAAAAGTTTCACCAACACAATTCAGATCATTTCAGAAAAAAGATACTTCTTCAAAGTTGCAACAGAAATCATAATAAATCTCACAGATACGAAGAATATAGTCTTCATAGAACAAATTGGCATTGTCCAGCCGATGACTTAATTTGTTCATAGTTACAAATTTTAAAATGACTACGGGTTTATCATAAACTCCAGGACACACAAATATACTTTTTCAGCTGAAACAACAACTGGCTGGATGAAAATTGGTAAGATTACCAAATAAAAAGTGCATTTAAGTTACTGGGACAATGAGCCCCTTATTTAGCTGCCGTTTTAGAGAAAGGTAAAGTAAATTTCATAATGAGGAACACTATTGTTCCAGAGGTCGTATCTTCAATTCCATAATCCATGTTAAGTTTAAACGTAATGAAAACAAAACATGGAAACAAATTCAGGGAGGGCAGAGAGGGACTTTTCTGACGTCAAATCACAGTTGTTTTGGACTAATGATCACTAACAAGTTATTATTTGGATCGTGGTACCATCTGACCAAAGTGAAAAAACTGCTTTCTGCAAAAAGTTGAAGGGGAAGGATCACGTTATCACATAATCTGATCTCACACAGCCGCTAAGTTTATAATCCGATTATACAGTAATTTACCGATTGTAAAAACCACCCAGGAATGCCCAGAGACTTCTTGGGATAACCAGATGAAAACAGCATTCAGTCAGTATATGGGGTTCTTAGAAATTTTTGAAACACTAAGCTATAAAATGAAACCGTGGATTCTTTTCCATGCATTTATCCTTCAACATCGCAAATTAATGGCTCATCTCTCGTAGTTACACATTGTGACATACGACACTTAACAATTTCTTCACAATCAAACCTTTCCGCTAATGCGTGACATAGAGGACAGAAGTTTCGAGAGATACAGAGCATGTCGTTTTTGACCCTTGTTCAATAATAAACTGACTTAACGATCCCCACATCTGTTTCGCTAATTGAGAAAAAAAAACCTCTTTTGCTATCATTCTCCTTCCGTAAACTGTTTCAAGATACTCTTCGATTGAAAAGTAAATTTGCATATCAAACGCTTTTAAGTATCACAAAAGAAAACACTTACATCACGCGTCAAATAGAAATTGATATGCGGTGGATTCCATTAAGATATTACATTTATTTCATGGCTTACCATCACATGCGGGTCTGACAAGATGTTTTGCAACTCGTAACAGTCGTCGTCGTCTTCGGCCCTGAACTCGACCAGGTCAATAACCTGTGGAAAAGGGAATACATCGGGCGATGTAAGAACGACGAAAAATGAAAGAGAACCTACTCATGCAATATCACCAGAGCAGGATACAGAATCGTGCTGATTACACAGTAAGCAAAGGTAACAGCTAAAAAAGGAAAATATTTAAGATATAATAATGAGGCTTTGATCGAAAAGAAAATTCACCGGATGAGCTAAACCTTCTTTCCCATACACGTGACGAAAAGACGCGGGCAGCATCAAATCGCACGCGAAAAATTGTACGACCACACCTAAGTTATTTCATGTATGACTGGGCGGCTTACTAAGAGATTATCCCTGACTGTCACTGAAATCTTTCGATTGTCTTTTGATCAATAGAAAAGGAAACATTTGGATGCAAACCAAAAAACAAAACAAAGGACGCTCTATTATCCTAGAAAATTGTAATTTTGAGTACATATTTATTGTAGATTTCAAATAATCGGCCCAAGACAAATGGACGACTTTAAAGTAAAGATTGTTAGTCTTCGTGCTTGAGTCTTTTACGGAAATAGGAATCGTCAGAGAAATCCTGATGTAAACGTTGGAAATTCTTTCCTTGTGTATATCATATTAGATGCACAGAGGGAGCGTCCCCCTTTAATTTGATCTGACCTGCTGTATCAGGCGCAGTTGAGAGATAAAAGTAGTCTTTGACGAAGGCAACACTCGAGCTCTGCCCTACATCTCTCATTGTGTGAGTTCCGAATAATTTGTATTCCATTCCATAATATCCCCTTAATGCTAACTTTTTTAATTCGAATGACTTGTCCGCTTGGAAAAGGGATTGACATTGCCACATTGCCGGAGTAGTTTAGAGATATTACTTTTTGGACACCACTCGTAGTGAAAGGCTAAAATCCGATAAACATGGGCAGAAACCACTGTAACATTGAGCAAGGTGTCAAAAGGAAAAAAAAAATTTGAAATGGTCTCAAGTATTGGGTAACTTGAAGGATGTACGGATAACGAACAAAGGATGTACACATCCCTTGAGGGCCAAACTAATGGAACTTATCCCAGTTGTTTTAACAGGAAGTGACACGGTACATTGTGAAGTTACAACAATATTTTGTCTATACCCCGTGGGGGAGAAATCAATGCCTATCATCAACTATGATCAGCCTAGGGCTCGAATCCAGACCCCGCAATTCACCCTCGACATCACATCAATGTTACCGTACTTTCAGCAACAGTTCATAATGTGACATCAATGAAAACGTCAATAAGGACAAAAACCCACGTATGTGAAATCACTAATTAACCCAATCACTGTCAAATTTGTATCAATTTCTGACGTCTTTCTAGCAGTCTTTGCATGCCCCATGGCCAATGAGTGAGCTACCTTTAGCTTCCACACAATCGACTATGATTTTCAGCCATTCAGTTTAAGTTATTTGGGCACCCGAAAGGAAACGAAAACAAAGGCTTAAAGTAAAGAGTAAAAAATTCCGCCCATTTAAGAGGGACTTGAAAGCTTTGCAGATATGACTTTTCTTCTACTGAGTGCTTTCTGTGAAGCAGCGATTATGTACCTTTAAATGGATGAGCTAATTAATTAAGTAAGTTAAATAAAATTTCCAAAAGGAAAAAATACACGACCAGAAATACAGTAATTATATTAACAATGAGAAACGATTTAAAAGGCTCAGGAGCCATTTTTCTCATAATCCTTAAATTTCAGGAAGGTACTTCAACCCCACTGAAATCTTCACTCTTTTCACAAGAATAACACATTCTGGAACCGCCGCACTTGAGTCGAAAATGGCTAACAAATAATTATTAAGAACCGGCAAAGTAAATACTAGTTGATGATTTGATAGATTCTCACTAGTGACCGACAAGAAATCTGAGAAAAACAGTACACAGACTAACCTGAAGCAGTTCAGAGACCAAAACGTATATTATAACATTTTCGCTAACGACAGACTTAAAAGATACGGAGAACAAGCGGTAACACTATACAAAAAGCTTCAATTCATGTTTTGCAAAATTTAATGTTCAACATTACAAACAGTGAAGACATACTCAGTTCAGAAATAAACCTTGAAAAAGTGACACCACGATGTTAACACGATAATAATGAATTTTCCCATTTAAAAAGGTTTCCTCTTTGCTGGTTTGTTACATAAAGCAGCTCCGGTCTTCAACAAAAACGACTTCACAAGCGAAACTTGTACAGAACACAAAGTGCATCTCATGAGGCGGAAACATTTGAAGAAGATTTTGCAGTGTGAAGCGCGCTTGATCGATAATTTCAAATGTAATTTTGAGACAGATTTTCCTCACCTCTTTAGCGTCTTCTACCGCGTTAGGAGAACATGTCGATGGACACGAACGATTCTCATCCGTCCATTCCTGGCTTCTGTCGTAAACCTGCAACATGACCGGGAAAATAATGGATATCTTTTTCTTTTTCCTATCGACAGCGTCAGGTCCAGTTTGTGGGCTTGGACGGAATCAATTATTAACCAAAAAAGATAACATTTGAATATCGAAAGCCACAATTTCCACTAATCTACGAACTAGTAAACTATATTTTCATTAAGATTTTGTAAGATAAATTTCGCAAACACAAAATGATAAATTTACTTCCGACGAGAACTCAGAACCAAATCTTCGCTTTTGACAATAATCACAGAATACGACTGGGATTCAAAGTGGCATATGAGGCGGCTTTGAGGAAAATGTTTTCAATCTGCATTTAATGATTAATTCGTCGACCCACTTATATATTTTATCACATGAATATGACACGGACATGCTGCAAACCAATTTGATTTAATTTGTTTATTTGATAGAAAAACGTGAACCACCAACTTCATAGGACAGCTAATTAACATTTTATCTGTACACAGAGGTTTTGAAAAAAGCTTTGTTTCTTGTTTGAAATGCAAAGAATTAATGGATTATAAATGACTTGTCAAGATTATGCCAACCTCGTATAATCAAAATTCTTTATAAACCAAAAAGAAAATAAATTTCAAGTTTATAAAATTACAAATAACGACATTTAGTGTACGAGGAATTTATTCTGATTAATTTGCTTTCCGGTTTTTTTTTTTCATTGTTTTATTTCTTCTTTTAATTAAAAAAAATTAAAACCTCACAAACGAATTCCAAACCATTTGGCGTCACGGATCTGCATAAAATTGCGCGAACAACGCTACATGTAAATCGTATATACCCGTACATTTTGTCTCTATTCCAGCTGAGACCCCTATGGCGCGGGAAAATGGATGCGCGAGAACCGGCTACAATCAGAATTTGCTTTCAAATTATGCTGAAAGCACACACTTCCAGATTGGAAGATTGTGGAGAAAAAATTAAGTGTTATTGGTTTTTGATTGATAATAAACAGCACTAAATTAAAAACACTTTGATACCAAGTAAGGGAGCGATTAAAGAACTGATCTCAACGTGGCCTCGTTCGTCTGAGAGGTTTCAGAATGTCAAGCGCGCATAGCTAACCAAAAAATAAAAGGAGCACACTCCCCTATGCTAATCGACTTGTATCTGAAGTGTTAGACGCTACTCGTACCTAATCTCCGGAGGAGCATCAAGGCGAATGACAAGAGGAAAAAAAGGGAGAGATTTCTAATTCGCTGCAGTATCTTCAACCGTTTCTTTACGGGTTCTTCCCATTATTTATTTAATAGTTTACCGATCTTAACAGAGCACACGGGCAGTAACTGGTATTTCATTTCAGCCTTGTTACACCCTTTGTGCCGAGCACTCTTGGAACACGAGTGTAGAATGAAGTTGGGTTAGAGTGACTTCACAAATTGCATTCTCACCTCTAGTAAGGCTTGCAACGTCTGATGTTCAAAGAGGTTCTGTAAAAAGTTCACATCATCTTCGCTTGCTCCGGCGAGAACTTGAATCTCTTCTAATGAGTCAAGAAGCTGACCGATAGCCCCTACGGATGGAGAGAGGTGTGACAGAGATGAGTCGATTGAAAACAAATTCGATCAAAAGTTATTCCGTTATTGCATCACACATCCTTTTTGCACATAATTTTCACGCATAAATGGCGCACACACATTTACAAATAGCCTCCTAAGAGAGGAAGATAGTTACTTCTCGTAAATGAACACAAAAATGGACTAATTTATCGGGAAGTTCGATCGATAGCATACATGTATTTCGATGTTGGGAATTCATATGGATGGCTGAGAGTTAACAGAACGAAAGGGGAAAAAAAGGAAAATGTAGCGAGTCACACCTGATGCAGACAGATCATCGTCTTCGTAATCAAAAACATCATCCTGTAAAAAATTAAAGGTTCATCATGCGATGATATGAATACTTCATTCATCCTATGAATTCTTAAGTAACTTTGTACGAGATACGATCTCTAAACCACAACAGTCACAACGACGAGATCGCTGCTGTGCAATCATATCAATGGTATCTACCACTGTTTTTCTTTCTTTCTGCACAAATCACAACAATCTACTGAAACTATATATTGAGGTGAAAGGAGAAATTTCAATACCTGAGATCCGATGACGTCTCCGTTTGCCACTAAGAGATGAAGAAAAAAATAACAGATATGTTAAAGAAAAAGGGCACAACACTTTTAGGCAGCTTATCATAGCTAGAACTTAAAAAACACGGCTCAGTCAATAAGGGCATCTTACCTGGAAACTTTCTGCTGGCAACAGCAGCTAAGATGGCTCCCTATAAGAGAGAGACACACTGATTAATTTCCTCTAACTCTACAATTTGCCTGTTTTTAACATGCAGACAACCGGTGGAAACTGACATAAATATTATATAAAATATACCAAAAAATTGCTGATTAATTATTTCATTTACGCTTCAACAAATGTTCCGAGCAGTCCATTACTGATCCTGACCTGGGAATGTCAAGCTCATACTGCTGTGGAACACATCCACATCACTAGTCTTACATTTGTGTATAACTTAAAATCACGCATTTCTGATAAGAGTTGCCTGAGCTTTTACTCCCTTAATGTTTGCAAAAAATTTGATGGAGTCTATGGCGTCATCACTTTACTTCTTTACTTAATAAAAACCTACATATCCCTCAGAAATGAAAAGAGCTATTCTAAAACAGTAAATGTCATCTTCTTGCATAAACTTCCTATCACGGTTCAAGGCAGATGCACTTTAAATTCTTTGAATCATAGTGTGACGTTAGAGTCGTTATAAGCACACTTCCTGTTGGTCGTTTGCTTGTTGACTAAGTATGTTAAACCAGCAGTTGTTTATAGGCTTCTGTTTTCTTTATTCCAAATTTTGAAACCTAGAGGACTCAAAGGCTAAACAAAGTAGTGTCCAGAAGAATTTTGATAACGTGACAAAATCTTGCGTGACATTAAGTCGCATTCGTTTGATAGCCTCGTTTGAAATTGTTATGAGCTGGAAAAGCTCTTAACAGTTTAAGAACAAAAGAATGAGCTGGATACCTTTTCCGCTTCAAGACAGCATGATACACGGATTAACCCTGTTGGTTGAGTGAGTTATTTGGTCTACTGGAGGAGTGGAATTATCTTTCCCACAGCAGTAAATTTGTATACATAAATTACTTGTACAAAATGACTGTATTCTTATCACCTTTAACTTTCTTCTTGCATTAAACTTTTTCATTTCATCTACTGAATCCTGAAGGTGAATTCTCTGTGGTACATTGCGATTCTAGAGAAGAAAAAAAATATATAAATCACTGTTCAATAATACAAAACACTTAACCCTAGTTGTGGTTGTTTTCAAGTTTTCGTATATTTACAAGGGTGTTATCATTAAAGGATTGAATAATTTGGGACTTAATCTTCTTAGAGAATGGCTTCTAACTAACCACTGGCTGCAAAGTAATACAAAGGACAACACACTTTTCGTGCTAAACACTTGGGTGTGAATGTACAATGTACAGTTCTAACCCCTTAAAAGTTACTGTAAAATTCCAAAATAATTACCCTCATCATTCAGCGAGTACCTTCACATGCTATTTGAGAATTGCAAATTTTTACATCCACTAGCTTTTCTTTAGATGAAAATCTCCATCAGCTGTGCCACCCCTTGTATACTTGTGTTTTAAAAATATAGTTAGAACTGCTTTGGTGCAATTCCAATATTTCATTGGCAATGAAAAGAGACAGACTCAAATTTCATGAAGTGTGCTGTTATATAGAAACAACTTGTCAACTTGCAATGGTAAACCTTAGAGTTAGTACATACATTAAGCCAAGGATGTTGCAGTGCTTCCCTTGCTGTCAGTCTATCATTCTGATCCAGGGCTAACATCTTCTTAACTAAATCTTTTGCCTCATCAGATATGCTGTCCCAAATTTTTGGTCTCATCTACAAGATGCCCAGACACAACTTTCACCATACAAATGTTTAAAACATAACTTGAATCAAATTCATCCCATAAATTAGCACCTATACTTCCCCTAGTGGAGTCAATGAAATTCAGTTCTTCTTGTTCAATGAATTATTGCTAGTCAGCTTTTTGTCCAACAACAGGAAGTAAAAATAGGCCTTAATTTTGACACATCTTTTATTATTAACATACCATGGGTATGCCCTTCTTGATGGACTCGTATACTTTTTCTCCAGTTCCTTGGAAGGGGTATGATCCACTCAGAAGAATAAAGAGTACAACACCTAACACAGGAATGAGAGGCAGTCATACATTAGAAGGTATTTAATTTCAAAAGTTTGTTCTAACAAGGTACAACTTACTGTTCTTTTAAGGGATAATCCACTGTTTTAAAATTTTCATTTATGTTGCAAAACTGTGGATTACTGTATTCTTCATTAATTAACATGAAACAAGACTGAATGGAGTTGTACAGGCTTTAACACATAATGCTTTTAATGCTGCCATCAATCATGCAGCTGAACTCCCAGAGAAACAATGCTGTTTAATAGAGTTGCAAAGGTAATGTTTCTGCATTTTCATTTAGAGAATTGTAATCCAATTGTTTCTTTCTAAAATCTAGATGGATGTTATCTTTAATAGTGACTGAAAGCATCATGAACCATACAATTCCCATGTTCTCAAAAGGTACAGTAACATGGCTGTCTAAGTTACTCTTGATAGATTTATCACATAAACTGATAATCTAAGTTTCTAATACATTTAGGTTAAGAAGAGACTGAAAGCTGACTCTAGAGCCATATCAAAATTGACACTGAAAGTGCATCAAAGCAAGAGGAGATCCTGGATAAATGTTGCAACAAAGAAGGGCTGACTAATGAGGATTATTCCATTTAAAGGTTTCCAAAGTCACATAAAGATTTACTATAATTGTAAGTATATTTACTTAGTAATAAGGGTATTCTACTAGGCAAAAATTTAAAGATTTACTCTTATCATGGAAGAATTGTTCTTGGTAAAAAAGGCTGGGACAATGATTACAAAAGTGAACTGAAATGCTCAGTACAAAAATGACACAGATATTTGCACTTAAAAGTGCTAACAATGATTTCTTGCTCAACTGACCCAATTACATAATTTTTTTGATGCTGCTTCAGAATTTTGACTTATTACCATTACCACTAAGTAGAAGAAATACTGTATCACCATTGTAGCAATTTATTTTTCAATATCATTTCTTCCAAAATACTTAAAAATGAGTATTACATCTACTTACCACATCCCCAAATGTCTACTGGTTTACCATACTGTTCCCTGTTTATCACCTCTGGAGACATAAAATGTGGGGTGCCTATGCGTCCTTTATTGAATCAAACCAGGAAAAAGAAACAAATAAACCAGTTATCACTCCCACTATGGAAACAGTGAACAGGTTTAGGGAGACAATCATACTGAGTTATAACTTTAACACTGTTGGTGGACACAAACACTGTCCAGGAAAGACAATGTCTGGTCCACAGTCCCCTTTTTTTTT